TCCTTTTACTTCTACTATCATTTTGTGAAATGTGGGTGCCAGCATTGTCCAAAATTCTTTGTAGAATTCTGCTGGATAGCCATCAGGACCTGGAGCTTTATTATTAGGCATATGCCGGAGAGCTTCATGGAGTTCGCTCATTGAAAGAGGTAAATCCAGAGCCATCCTGTTTTCCTCTTGCAATTTGGGAAGATTAGTGTTACGAAGAAACTGATCAATATTCTCATCCGTTGTGTTTGTTTGTGATTTATATAATTTTATAAAGTTTTATAGAAATCTCAAAAAATGTTATTTGTCTTGTCAGGGTCGTGGCTGATATTTCCTTCTGGATCTTTGACAGAGGAGATTGTTGTTTTCTCCTTGTTTGTTTTAATTGATTAGTCAGAAACATTACGGATTTGTTGCCATGATCAAAATTTTCCAAGCGAAGTCGTTGCACCAAGAGTTGTGTGTTTTTTATCTATTATTTCATGAAGTTCAAGTTTAGCTTTCCTTATATTGCTCAGTTTGTGTTCTTCTGGAGAGACATGGTAAGCATCTTCTAGTGATTTAATTGTATTTTCTAACTCTGATATTCTTGAAGCCTCTTTGCTTTTCTTGTGAGAAAAGAAGGCCATTATTTTCTCTTGCATTACTGCTTTTCCTGCTTCTCAAAGAACACACACTGGAGTCTCTGGCAAATTGTTGTTTTCTAAATATATGGACCATTCCCTGATAGCTGATAAACTCCAATGATGTATTAAATCTCCAGTTTCTAACTGAGGGTTTATTGTTCTTATTTCTTAGAGAAAATGTTACTGATGGCAATGAATTTTGATTTCTGAGATGTCACTGATCAGCGAGCAGCTAGTTAAGAAATAATCCAATCTAGAATAAGAATGGTGAACTGAGGAAAAATACGTATATTCTCTTTTGGTGGGATGGTGAGACCGCCACCGTCACAAAGACCAAACTGTTTTATGTATTGTGTAACAGTCTGAGGATTACCAAATTCGATGATTTCCTGCCGTACTAAGTTGGTCCATTCCTGGATCACAAACCATATTGAAGTCCCCCCCTATAATTAATATATGATCTGAGTGATCATAGAGTGACGTAAAAAAGGAATGAAAAAAGGAGGGGTCATAAACATTTGGTCCATATATATTTGCAATGCATAATTTAACATTTTGAATAGATAATGTAAGTAAAATAAATCTACCTTCTGGGTCTATGATTGTGTTGTCAATGTTAAAGTTTAATCTTCTATTAATTAGAATAGCTACTCCTCTCTGCCTAGAATTGTAACATGCTGAGTAAACATGTGGAAACTCTACTGTTTGAAGAAGATCTATTGATGAATTTGATAAATTAATTTCCTGTAACAGGACAATGTCTGCATTTAATTCCTGCAGCCTATTGAACATTTTTAATCCCTTTTCCCTTGTACCAGCTCCATGCACATTCCATGTGATAAACCTCATCCAGTAACTAAAATGAGTGTTACATGCATGTTAATAAAGCTGCGTCCGTGTGCGTCCCATTGCATGTTTGTGTGCACATGTGCATGCCAACTGAGTATGTGTTTGTGTGTACTGCGTAAAGCTCTGATGTGTGTCCACAAGCTGTGCCTGATGTGTCTATGTTTGGGTTAATATGGTAACAGGTGGGATTACAGCTACCCGTGAGAAGGTGAGATAGAAGAAGAAAAGTGAAAGGTGAAAAGAGTGATAGTGTTAGAGAAAAAAAATAGTTAAGAAAGCACATTCGTGTTCCAAGCAGTGCAGTGGAGATAGCAGTGACTTTAGCATTTAATTAGCTATATGATAATCTATGGCAGTGTGATATATTGGTATTCTATAACAAGGTTGGTATAAGAAGATGAAAGCACACAGAACCTGAGATCAGTAGAGCCAAGGAGTGATGTCCGGGCAGCGGCACAGTTGCCCATTAATAAACAACTTATCCACCGCGATGACAGCTCGGGCGCTGTCTGTGAGTAATTTCTTCCTGATGGGAAGCAAGACTCTCCAGCAATCCAGGATCTCTCGAGGATATTGGTTGTTCACACCAAAGTTTGTCCCCTTCAGCTCCCGGCCCTGGTTCTTCACCTGCTCCTTTTGTTTGAAGTTGGCAAACTTCTTCACAATCAGTCTCGGTCTGTGTGCACCCAATCTCCGGGCTCCCAAACGATGAACCCGATGAAAAGAAATGTTGCTCACCGTTTCTTCTGGAAGTTTCAGGTGAGTGCTGATGAAATCCTTGACCATCTTCTCAGGATCATCCTCTGTTTGTTCTGGGATTCCTGCAAATATCCCGTCAGGCTGGCGTTCTCAGCCGCCAGCGTCTCCACCTGTTTCTGGCTGAACTCTAGGAACTCCTGTAATGCCTGAAACTCCTTGTGGAGAACCTCCAGCAGGCATAAACGGCCATCAAGGCTGCTTAATTTCTTATCTATAGAGATAAAGACGTCAGTTGGACTATTTTCAGGTGGCGAAATGGCTCCAGGTGAGTCTTCGTTGCGGAGTCTCTTTGGCTTCCCCATGACGATTCTATCATTAGCACTTGTCTATGTAGTCCATCAGGCTGGCCAAACCTTCTCCGCCTTGCTCCAGAGTGAAAGACACTAAGTTTCTCTCTTTTCAAGATTTGAAGTTAGATTGGCAAACGTAATTTTACTGAATGAATGAATTAGCGCGCCTTGTTTGAATCTGCCGTCTCACAGGATCTGCGTCACTCCCTCTCCGCATCACTGCATCACTCCCTCAAAAACATGGGCAGATCCTGCTTGCAATCAGCAGCATGAATGAATGCAAACAGATGAACATCTGGCAAGGCACCATCATAGTGACTTGATACACAGGAAATATATATGAGAGACTATATGCAGCGTGAAGCATGATGCAATTCCATTGAATTTGTGCAAGCTTGTACAACCATCCTATCTGGATGCAAGGAATCAGCACATGCTGAATGCACACATATGATCATCTGGCAAGGCACTATTATAGTGACTTGATACGAAGGAAGTATACTACATTGGATATGAGACTATGTGAAGCGTCAAGTATGATGCATATCCTTTAAATTTGTGCGGGCATACAAGACCTTCATGAACTTACATGAAATGGTGTCCCAATGATATGTAGTTATCACAGATCATGTAACATTACCTACTTGTGGCCTTGAGCAATATTAATGCATTTAGGAAGAGAAAATGTTCATACGCTGTGGAGAATGAGCAAAAAAGAATAGGTTGCTTGGCATGGGAGGTGGAGGCAAGACAAACAAGGCCTGGGCAGGGCCTTCCCGGAGTCCATATTGCTGAGGCTCATGTCCTCTTGCATTGGTTCACTATTAAAGGCACCAAATCATAGAACTTACTATATGTCTTCTATCTTAAGAGAAGAAACATACAGTAAGGTCATGCATAGAATAGAATTTCTCAGTGTGTGGACTTAACTTCCCGCAAGAAACACTGTAAGCTGCGAGAAGGACTGTTCTACGATGGTACCTACATATAGACTAAACACCCAGACTGAAAATGAGAACAGACTTTGCACCAAGAAAGTGTAAAGTGAGATGATTATCGTTACCTTCTGAATGAACTTCTTTGGTTCACTGAAGAGCAGGTAACTATATCATTTCCCAAGAAAACTGGAAACTGCAGGGTCTAAATGTCTTACATGAAACTAGACTTCGGAAATTAAGTTTGCAGATTTAAGAGAAGAAAGTGAACAAATATTGAACTAGATTATGTGGACTCGATTAGTTTGGTCAAATGTTGGCAAGGCAGGCTGCAGGGAGAAATGAAGCACAGATGTGAATGAGGAGCAGTCTTACTAATACTGACTGATGCTTTGTACCTTTATTGTTTCTGAAAGAGAAGGAATCATTTCAACAGATGTTTGTCTCAGTGAAAGGAACAGAAGCTGTTAAAAACAGTCCACAGTCTGATACTGATCCAGAGAACAGAGACATGAACTGAACTGAGCTTCACTGAAGTGATAGAACATCAATCAGTAACAGTGTTCTGGGGTGTAAAGTTTCTATCTGCTGATCATTCCTGTCTGCCATGAGACGACAGCAGTTAACAGACTGCAACAACATTATCGATCTGTTGATTGATCACCTGTGACTTACAGGAAATTAGTCACAGACAACAGGTAACTCATTTATGACAGACAAATCTAATTTAGCATCACCGTTAACTAGTCAGGAAAAGTAACCTGAGATTTACAGAACAACTTTAAATCACAATGTTAGATCATGTTTTACCATCAGAGGTTCCAGTCTGATGTTAATATACAGTAACTTCAGCTACATTAATGCAGGTCGCTGCTTTTAGATGTAATATCAGCCAGATGTGGACATGAAAACAACAAGTAACCAAGATGACTTTAACACTGACCTGTAGAGTACAGCTCCACTTTTGGAGGGTAACACTGTTAGAATTAGCGTCACTAAACACAGCAGAATGTAAATGTGGGCGGGCAGAGAGTCCTTGGCTCTCAGTCAGCAATCACTGCTCTTCGACTCCGCGCTCTCACAATCTTTTTTTCATCTCTGGCTCCAAAAATCCAAGATGTCAATTAGGAAGTTGCAAAATCCTGGCTTAATTTTCTCGGTGCAGAACGAGTGACGTCAAGAGAGTTACATCAATCTTTCTTATACAGTCTGTGAGTTGGCTGCTGAGCTCAAATCTGGATTACTATCACAGTCTAACATAATATCCAGTGACTCGGTGGGTTTTACCGTCCAGCAGCATCAAGAAACAGAAATTCCCCTAAACTGTCTTTGTCTAAACATGTGAAAACAATGGACAAGAGGAGGAACTTCACAGAGTTCCCACCATGTCTGACTGGAGCTCATACAGAAGATAAAGATGGAAATGATGGTAAAGAATTTGCTCGAGAAGAGTAACAGTGTGTCTCCCTCTGGTGGATGTTGTGGAGTTTTCGGTTGTCTTTGCTCCAAAGGTTCTTGTACAGAGGTTTGCTGTTTCCTGTCACTGTGGGCTGCAGAGCACAGTAGTACACAGCAGAGTCTGACAGCTGAAGCTTCTGGATCTTCAGAGGAACTGATGTCTTGTTGAGTTTAGCATCAAATCTGTCTTTATAGAACTCTGGCGCATTATCATCTCCATAAGCGCCACGTCTTAAAATGTACTTTGGAAAGCCATTTACTTCCTGTTTGTACCAGAACAAATTAAGTTGGGTTATCATGGAACTGGTGTCAAAAGTACATTCCAGTGTAACTGTGTCTCCTTCAGCAGCAATGACATCTCCTGGTGGCTGAATCACTTTATCTTCTCCTTTACATTCTGGTGAAGAACACAACATGCAGAGAAAGACATGAATCAATAAAGATGATTGATTAAAGGAGAACAATCAGCAGCTGTAAAGAGTTTTA